TCTGTAAATGACAGGTCCCCTTACTTCCACAGATGAAGATGTTCTGCCGGCTCTGGTGTCACTGGTCCAGGATGGTTCCTTTTAAACAACAGTTGTCAGACCCCACGGAGAAGGATGGCACTCACAGAGGCTCCCTCAGTTTGGGCCAAACAAATAGCTCCACAGTATACATCAAAAGAACAATAAGACTGCCCTTGTCCATAACTGGCCTGGGATTTCTTTTTTCTTCTCTATCTGTGTTCCCTCAGTCAACATCCCCCAAGCACCACTTCCATGGTTGGCTCATTTTGGCCCCACCACTAGCCGTGTTTGGGCAGAAGCCGCTCCGGAAATGTAATCCCTAGCTTCAGACTCTCCCAACGTATAAACTCCCTGGAAGATTCTCAGTGGAGATGTCTGAAGGTAAGACCAGACATCTGACTTGATAAAAATAAAATACTGACCTATTCAGAGTTAATGTTTAAGTTGCTGACAAGAAAATATCAAGTGGAAGAGTAAACTAAAAAAAAAAAAAAAAAAAAAAAAAGTTGCAGTGAATTAAAGCTCTAGTGAGTAAGAATGAAGAAAGGAAAGTGGTGGAAAGGCAAGGGCCCCATCGAGATGGAGAGCCACCTGGGAATCCTCAACTCACTTCTGCCACCGCTTAGTGGCAAACATGCAAGTAGACTGCTCTGTACCTTGGTTTCTTTTTGTGTAAAAGGCTGAGGAGGATGAATTCCATGCATTCTTCTCCATAGGAGAAAACAACTATACAGAATACCCATTCAGTATCTTTTTTAAAATAGAAAGATCTGGGGTTTTGCAAAATGGTGGCTAATTCAACTAAGGGCTTTTCCTTTGAAATTTTATCAACAAATGGGTCTTCATGAAAGAGAAACAAAAATGACCACAAGGATGGGATAAAAAAAAAGCAGCCTCCTAATCTCACTCAGACAGAAGAGTGGGTCCAGCCTCCAGCAGCAGCAGCAACAGGAGCACAAAACTGGCTTGGGGCCGAGATTTGACATGCCAGATATTCACGTGTCTGAAGTGATGAAGTTATAGGGACATTGGGTGAGGCAATCATCATGTGGAACTTAAGTTTGGCGCCAATGCTGCCAATACTCACTTCACCAAAAGGGAACTGCTACAAGACTCCGTCTGCCACTGAAGTTTCCACTACAAGTTCAACACTCTCCACTTCTTCTAAGACACAAAACAGTTCAACACAGATGGCTCTGTCTCTTTTCTTCATTTTATGAGTGATACTGTCCAGAGTTACTGGAACTCTTAGTTCTTAAGGGAAGAGGGACTGGATGTTGTTTCTTTTACATCCTTTGTTAACGTCAAGAAACCAAGCCATATATTTCTTAATAATGAAAATCTGGATCAAGTTCAGTGTATAGTTCAAAAATGTATTCCAATTAAACAATTTAATAGAATTTTGGCTTCTCCTTTATCCCCATCCTGCTACCATATGTATCCAATAATTCCAAGTTCATTCCCCCCCTACTAATAAAAAATGGAGTCACTAAATAAGTGTGACATTTTGCTTTGAAATTTCAGTTTCTCCAATCAACAAAACGAAAAGGCAGCCTATGGAATGGGAGAAGATACTTGCAAATGACATATCTGATAAAGGGTTAGTATCCAAAATCCAAAAAGAACTTACCAAACTCAATACCCAAAGAATAAATAATCCAGTTAAGAAATGGGCAGAATACATGAATAGACACTTTTCCAAAGAAGACATCCAGATAGCTAACAAACACATGAAAAGATGCTCAACATCACTCATCATCGGGGAAATACAAATCAAAAACCATGATGAGATATTACCTCACACCTGTCTGAATGGCTAACATCAACAACATAAGAAACAACAGGTGTTGGCAAGGATGCAGAGAAAGGGGAACCCTCCTGCACTTTTGATGGGACTGCAAACTGTGTAGACACTCTGGAAAACAGTATGGAGGTTCCTCAAAATATTAAAAGTAGAACCATCCTATGACCCAGCAATTGCACTACTCAGCATTTACCCAAAGGATAAAAAATCCAGATTTGAAGACATACAGCCTCCCCAATGTTTATAGCAGCATTATCCACAATAGCCAAACTATGGAGAGAGCCCAAATGTCTATTGACTGATGAATGGATAAAGAAGACATACATGGTGTATATAAATGATGGACTATTAGTCAACCATCAAAAAAATAAAATCTTGCCATTTGCAATGACGTGGATGGAGCTAGAGAGTATTATACTAAGTGAAATAACTCATTCAGAGAAAGACAAATACCATATGATCTCACTCGTACGTGGAATTTAAGAAAGAAAACAGATGAACACATGGAAAGGAAGAAAAGGAAAAAAGGAGCAAGGGAAACAAACCATAAGAGACTCTTACCAGTAGGGAATAAACTGAGGGTTGATGGTGGGGGGATGGGCTAGGTGGGTGATGACCATTAAGGAGGGCACTAGTTGTGATAAGCACTGGGTGTTGTACGTTAAGTGGTAAATCACTGAATTCCACTCCAGAAACCAATATTGTACTGTAAGCTCACTAATTAAAATTTTAAATAAAAAAAAAATAAAAATAGGGGTGCCTGGGTGGCTCAGTCAGTTAAGCATCTGCCTTCAACTCAGGTCATGATCCCAGGGATCATGATCCCATGATCCTGGGACCAAGCCCCTCGTTAGGATCCTCTCTCAACAGGAAGTCTGCTTTTTCCTGTCCCTGTCTCTCTCTGCCCCTCCCCTGGCTCATGCTCTCTCTAAATAAATAAGTAAGTAAGTAAGTAAGTAAATAAATAAATAAATAATGTCTTTTTAAAAATTAAAAATAAAAACAAAAAAATAATTTAAAAAATACAAGAAATAAAAAATCTTAAAAAGAAAGAAAGCTCAGTTTCTCTTAAACCACAGTTTTCCAAGGGTCAACACCTGCCCAACCACCCCACAGGATGGTGAAATGCAGACTGTCAACCCCAATCATCACTCCACATCCTTATCCACACAGCATTCCAGGTGGTTGTGCTCCAGGCCAGTGTATCAGTGAGCCTGCCCACCTGAGCCCCGGTGCCACTAACTGACTTCCTTTCATTAGGTCCTTCCAGGCTGCCAGGCCCTGTGACAGTTCTCAAGAGTACAGCAGTGAACATAATGTCACCACCAATACCTGCTCTCAGGAACTAGCCATATCCCTGCCAGCCTTCTCACACTGGCTTCCATGATACAAATTCTCGCTTAGCCAGTTTGGGCAGTCAATGAGTAAAGCAAGGCAGAGAAACAAGAAGCCCCCTCAGAAATACACCAGATCAAGTAACTGTCTTTGCGTGGAAATGACCCACTTTCACTTATGAAGCCTGTTTATATAAAAGTCCTCAACGAAAAGTTACCCTTCTTTGGTAGGTGAGGAAACAGACTCGCTAAAAGTAATTTGTCCAAGGTTATAGAGGGAGTTCGTAGCCATCAAAGATGAAGGCCCAGATCTCCCAAATGTCGTAACACCTTTGCCTCTCAGGGCCCACGAGGGCCTTAGAGCAAGAGCAGCACCCTGAATATGTACTGACCCTGCTTCTCTCACAGAATTATGAGGAGAAAGTTGCTTCATGTGGAAAACTTCCTTTTCTCCTCCATTTAAAACAAAACAAAACAAAAAATGGATGGAAATTCTGCATTACTTGTCTCATCAGATCCCCATGATGAGGTTTATGCTTTACATAGTTAATCATCAGAAAGGCATTATCTCTCGTCCCTGAGGGAACTTCCTCTCAGGTCTCTATGCACAGGGACATGGTGGGGTGGTGATGATGATGATGGTGATGATGATGATTGCTAGCACATAGTGAGGGCCTACTCCATTTTAAATGTACTGTCTCGTTTAATCCTCACAAGAATTCTATTTTTCCATTCTGCAGATGAGAAAACTAAGTGTCAGAAAGAATGTGGAATTTGGCCAAGGTCACAAAGCTAGGAAAGAGTGGGGATAAGAGCCTCACCCAAGGGGTCTGCCCCCAACTCCTACGCTTTTAATCACCTTCTTCATCTTAAAACTGGAGAGATTTCAATACTTTAGGTTACAAAACCTAATTTAGTGCACAAACTGCTAGAAGCTCCTCTGGGAGAGGAATGTAATATAATCTTTAAGTCCTAGTTCTTCAAGTCCTAGAAAGGTTTCCCATATGACAGAGCCAACAATTTCAAAACTTAGGGTTCCATTAATGGCAGCCCTGTGACAGAACAGAGTAAGCTCTGTAATTTTGACTGATGTCACTTTGGGGTGGAAGGAGGTTAGAGAGAGAGACTCATAAAGTGTCTGACACTCTGGGAAGCTTCCTAAGGTGAAGGCGTCCTGCCGTGGGAAGAGCCACTGACTGAGGAAAAGAGTTGAGGTCAGCCCACAAGCCGTCTTTGCTAAAATCTCTGGCTTCCCAACCTGAGCTAACAGAGAAGGGAGAAACTGGAGGAAAAGCACAGAACAGTGCAAGGCAAAAGTTCACCCAGCACATCAACTTGAGACAGGTGTCTTGCCTTTCCAGGTGTTCAGCAGAAAAGGAGGGAGCATAAGTTGCAAGTTTCAGATGGGCTTGCAGCAATCGCCTCCTCACTGTCAGATCTAAGCAGTTCATTCCTATTGTTTGGACTGAGCTTTTTCTCCTCTACAAAACCAGAATAAGGAAACTGATAAGGCTGCAATGAGGCATATATATGAAATAATTATTAAATATCTCTTGGAATACCAAGGGCTATATGAACACTTAGGCATAGAAATAATCATTTCATGTAAACATGAACATAACCTTGCTTTTCAGAAAAGGGAGAGAACGCTGCATCTGGAGCTGGCTTCTTTGCACAAGTGGTTATGCTTTGGTTATTTACAAGGCTACCAAGTACTCTTCATTAGAGAAGAACCGGTGTGACCCATGGCTTGGCTTGGGCCCAGATTTGCTGTATTCAGTTCTGCTCCCACTCTTTCCCCAGCACTATCACTAAGAAGAGGCCATGGCCTCGGGCCTTACCTTGCTGCTTTTGCATGGTGGTGAAATCCTCAAAAGTGAGTGTGCGCACGGGGGGTCTCCAGAACGCATAAGTCTCCATGATGGCTTCCAGTCCGGTTCTGCGGAGAGAAAAGCCAACAAAGGAGGTTGTAAATCATGCCAAGAAATACACTGACTTTTTAAAGATCCTGCAGTGGTTTGTCTGACAGGTGGTATGTACATAGGCATTGAAAGATTTCACCCCCTCCCCGAGGAAATTAGTCTAGAAGAGCACAAGGAACAGATGACACTGAAATGCGTAAGGAAGAAGAAATTAACCCAATTCAGATTATGTGCAAGCAAGTCATAACTAGGATGGAATTTTGCTTGGAGCTTTCTTCAAAGGAGGTCCGGTCTTCATGGAAAAAAAACAATTGTTAAAGGTCAAGGTCACGAATACCATCATGACCAGAGCTGAGCCCAGAGCTGAGCCCAGAGAGGCACTGACGGTTTCTCAAGCACAGGATGATGTTTCATCATTACCGCAGTGCACGGACACAGCCTGCCTCGAGTCACCCCTACCAGTCAGTATTTGGAGTCCACAGAACCATCAAATCGCTTAAATGAACAGAGACAAGCAGGGTAATAGCAACAAAAGGAGAAGCAAGCAAGCAAACACACTTGAGTTTCTGTCTCAACAAAAAATTCCCACCTGAAGGCAAAGTAGGGGTTTGGTCCCAGAAATTATACCTCAGAGAAAAGGGCCAATATATTTCTGCAAATACTGATCTGTGTTCTATAAAATCTAATAATCAAGCTGGTCTTTGAGGGTCACATATTTGAGACCGTCAGACCTCAGGAAACATCCAGTATTTTCCAAATACATTAAGGCTTCTGTTTCATTGATACTGGAGGTTCCATTAATTAAAATATGCACACACTGCCTACTTTACCCTTCAATAAATGCTCTACCATATATATGAGGTGCTGATGGACATCCCTTCAACATAACTATCCAAGTTATCTTGGTCATATACTTGCTGATATCCCATATCCTCAAAAAAGTATTGGTTGGGTTTTATTTAAAGCTCTGAACTTTTAACTTCATTAAAGCTTCTTATTACTGACTTTTCTTTAAAACAAACTGCTTCACTTCCATCTAAGTGGAGGGAGCGGAAGTACAGGGACTATGGACAAGGAAGGTGGAAAAGAGTAGGTAGCATTGTCCTTCCACTGCAAAGTTTCTAGAAGGTAACATGGCATCCCTTCCTGCAAAAGATAAATGTTCCCTCTTGAGATGAAACTTATGCTGCCTGTCTTCCTCCCTAGGCAATACATTTCCAGGGTTCTCTTCAGTCCTGCAGACCAAGAACAAAGTGAGAAGCTTTATTTTTAAGTGAGAACAACTATCCTCTCCTTATAAATGTCTAGAAGATCCCTTGAGGTTCTTCTCAGATGAGCTGCTGAGACACTGATTGGCTCTTCATGTTGGAAAATTTCCTCTCTGAACAGGCTTTACTTGCACAGTTAACTTTCTAAAGTCTTCCCTGGAATCTTGGAGGCTTTAAATACACCAATGTTGGCAAATCAAACTCTGTATTTTTAGAAGAGGTTGAGAAGAGAGGGTGTTGCATGGTGTTTATTAGCTGTTAATCTGTTAAAAGTAGGAATAGAAGACATGTCCACATAGTCACCTACATTAATGCTGAATACAGTACATGGAACTATTTATGGAGAGAAAGAGTCCAAGCAATTAGGGAGTTTAGAATAATAAGAGGATAGGCAGATAAAGCCATGCTGAGCTTTGATGATTGTAAGAAAGAGACAGGCCAGGCATGGATCTCACCGCCTTGTTCTGGAATGTTGGCCACCCACCAGAACATCTTAGGATTCCCTTTAATGGCATGGGAGGCTCACTGCAAATGGTAAGGTCTTTGTTGTTCCACCTCCTATCTCATTCTTCCAGGAGCATTTACCAATGAGGGACAAAACATTAACTCAAGGACAAAGAACAGTCCCTTCTCACTTCACAAGAAAGTGACAGATGACTGTGAAGAAACAATTACACACTGATATACCGCCCATATCATATTTATTCAAGAAATAGAAAAACTTTGATTTCATTTTCATAATAGGCAAAAAGCCTGTGGCAAAGTTATTCATAATTTTATTTAGGCCATCAACACTATATAGGATAGTGACCATTTACCCATCTGTCCAAATCTAAAATCCAACTGAAAGACTGAGTTGTAGAATCATAGATTTAAAAACTGGGAAAGTTCTTAGGTATTACCTACTTCCAGTTTCTGGGATGCCATCTTGAATGGTTACCCAGCCTCTGCTGGGGTATTTCCCAAGGAAAACATTCAGTTTTCTAATAGATGTTAGAAAGTTCTTTCTGATCTTGGGCTGAAATCTCTGACAAAACTTGTACTCTCTGGTTCCATTACCAGTGAGTAAATGGTGACAAGTGCCAGACACTTTCCACATTCTCATCAGGAAGACTTTCCTTAGCAGTTAAGAATGTAATGTACAAGGTATCACATATGGACACAGCTATGCTCCCTCCAGTCCAGAGCTCTGTCTGAAGGTTCATTTTGGTGGTGGAGTTGTCAGGGAGGGGCTGTGACTACTGAAAAATAATGACTGAGATCACCCATCCCTCACCACGCTTTGCTGTAGATCCATCTTTCATAGATTTATCCCAGATACTTCCTGAATCTACTTACATATTCAAAGCATATCTCTTTTTATAAAAATTAATCCTATTTGTTCACTCTATGCCACATCTTATTGTCCTCAAACTCCATTAAGCTTCATCAAATAGATGTGATTGTTAGAAAGTACTAGTGCTAGATATCAGGATTTGGTGACATGAGGTGGCAAGCTAAGAATTAGATAATCCAGCTTTCTTTGTCACTTGTGTGTCTACTTTGGATCCCATTTCTCTGTGTCCCAGTGCTTAGGGTGACGACTGTCACACAGTCAGATCTCAATTTGTATGCATTGAATGAATAAGCAAAGGAGTCAATTTTCACCCTATGTCTTACTACTGCACCATTATCTCATGAATTTTAGCCAGCCTAAAACTTAGAAAAACAACTTGATGTAAAATCAAGACTGTGCAGACAAAAGGAATCTTTTAGTACTGGAGACTTGGGAATTGTTCCTATAGCTGCTTGTGCCTTTCTTGACTCAGGTCTCAGAGGGGTTTCAGTTTTCCTTTGGTTTCTTCTGGTTCCAGTCACGGAATTTCTGACCTACAACAGTCTGAGTCCCCTTCTCGGGGACCAGTCATTTCTACCCTCATCTTCTCTTATAAGAGTCTCTGCCAACTACCCGTTAACATCTTGAGCCACTTGGATGTCTATTCAAAGTTTATTATGAGGAATACATTGCTTACTTATTCATCATCATTCTATCCTAGCTTTGTAAAATTTTATCATAAGGTTCTTAAAAGTGAATTCATTGTCCAAAACAGATTTTTAAAAAGCAGGCTTAGGTAACCTCACATCATTAACGTGTTCCACATGGTGGGCCTCTCCGGGTCTGATGCACACCAGAGACCCAATGTCTGAGGTTTCCAATCAGAGATGATCATATTGGCAAGTGTCTCCCCTCTTGCTTACTTTTCCCTGTTTGCTCCAGTGACAACAGAGGCCATATCCAAACCCTCTTTGTTCAGTCCTTTGGCTGGAATCACCCCTCTGATTTCCAAGCCTCTTCTCTGTAGACTTTTCAGTCTGCTCACTGGCCAAACCAATAGAACGTGCTGAAGAGGAGGGAGACAAGGAAGGAGAGGAAACAAGCCAAAGATCTCTTTTGCAAATTGATGATGCCTCAAGATGAACTGATTTGGAAAAACAGCCAGACTGTAAAGAATTGTTCTTCCAAACTTCTCATTAAAAAAAAAAAGTTCAGCAAATATTTGATGATAATAATAACAATTATGACTATCTTCATGAACCTATTAGACAGCACTCTGCTGCATACTTTCTGTGTTTTATTTGTGTTGCGATGATAGAGGGTTGCTTTTTATGTTTCTTTGATTTATTTTCTCTGTAGTTCTGACTTTTAACTCTTCCCCAAGCTGTTGGCCAGTGATTCTGATAACAAAAGGAACACTGATGAGGCCAATGGTCATCTGTTAACAGAAGACAGTCAAGGGCTACAGAGATGGGGTTTTGAAATCATAAAGAAGACTTTCAGCCAGTAAATGTGCTAGGTCCAGGAGATACAGAGACAAAAAAGACATAGGGTCTTTACCCCAATTCAGGAGTGTTCTGTTCAATATAAAGAGAACAGCATGTAAACGACTGACTACACAACAGTGTGATGAATGTTACACCGAAGATACATGGAAGAGACCACGGAGCACTGAGCAAGAAGTACTTCCTCCACCTGGAAAGTTCCAGAAATGCTCCCTAAAGACCAGTTATTTCAGCTGAGTATTAAAGGGTACTCGGCAGTTTTCCACACAGACAAGAGGCAGGAAGAACTTTCCCAGGAGAGTTCACAGTATATACACAGACGTGGGGGTATGGAAGAGAAGGCACATTCTGGGAACTGAAAATAGTTCAGGGCGGCCGCAGCTCCAGGTGCAAGATGAGATGGTGGGGCGGATACCAGAGATATTTATTGGGGCCTGGATTTTATCCCATGGGTGGTCCTGTACCTCTGCTCTTCTTTCCTTTCTTTTCCTGTTCCAGCACTTGAAAAGACAAAGAACCAGAATATACTGTTCTTTCAGACATAATTACTATATCTCAACTTCCTAATCCTTTTTCTTAGACTGTCTTTCATCCACGGAGGTGAGGTCAACCCTTCCACATCTTTCTCTCCCCTGGATCTGGAATTGGCTTCTACAGATTGGTGGTCCAGGAATAATCTAAAAGACCTCCCAATAGAGGTCTACAAATTGCGGGGGTGGGGGGAGCCATCATTCAAAACTTGGCTTTAGATGGTGTAGTAAGTACATCTACATGATGAATTGGCTGTCACAGTGGTTTGGAAGAACAGGTGTCCAATGGACAGATGCTTGGGGCTGAGTCAAAATTGTTCCTCACCCAGTGATTCCCAACTTGGGAACCCTGTCCCCACATGGAGTCTGAAAAGGAAGCAATGGCAGTCCCTAAGGAGT